ATCTTAATTTTGGTGAGTATAATGATGGGATACTGTCCGACTGAGTTGCACGGAGTCCCGAGTGAGATTAAATACTTGTATCACAAGGAATACTCACTGCCCCAGTTACTTGGAGGACGACGAGTTGGAATCATCTTAACTTCCCAGCTTTGTAGGACTGCGCTTTAAACATCTAGGATCGCACTTTTTAACCAGACCGGCGGAATCCATCGGGACCGCAACTTAGATGCTGCCGTTCGTAATGGTATCACAAAGGACTAATGATTTTAGTCTAAGCGTGTCCTTGTTTTAGGGCAACCAACTTAACTTAGTCTAAGCCAATAATGCATCTACAACGTTTAATTGAATTTGGAAATCAGCATATTGGTTAAAACTAAAATTCTTTGCCTAACTTTTTATAGAAAAGTTTAACCTTGTGACTGCTATTTTTATTGAAATTTCATTTAGATTCTTCGACCACACATTGTTTAAAATTTTTACCAAAGGATGGAAACTTTAACCTTGAATATAGTTTCGTTGAGGCGCTATACACAAATCTAAAAGTTGTTCTACAATGTCATCTAAGCAAATGTAAGTTTTAAAGCGAAATGGAAGATTTGTAGCACTGCTTAAAAATGAACCACCCTAATGTATATTTTTATATTTTTCTCTTATATAGAACGACTAGCACCGCGTTAAGTCAAAGGCGTAGGGAGGTAAACATAGCAAAACAGTTGATGAAGGATTTATTTTCGAAATTAATTTTAGTACTTAATCAAAAATTTGCAAGTCATGCGCCATCATTGCTTATTAAAAGTTGTTTTACTAGAGATATTTATTTAATTGTAAACTGACCCCAGGCCCCCTTCCAGCTCTTTACGAGCGCCCACCTGTGTATGTAGACGGCACAATTTTGCTTTATCAATGTAAATTGTTTAAATTGCCGTTGTCGCAATTATCATTATTTGTTCGTGTTATTGCTGTTGTTGTTGCTCGTCGCTGATAAGGTTTTGAGTGAATCTGACAATAACCGCCTGACCGAACAAATAATTTGCGCAAATATGCATTTTTAGGTAGCTAAAAAAAAAGAGTAAAACTTCGGCACCAGCTGATGCTTAAAACAAAAACAAAAAAAAACAAATGGGGGAATGCACAAATAATTTTGTTGCACAGTGTTTGCGTTAACATCTGCATATGTTAGCGCGAGCAATTTATTCTATTCGATTTCAGCTGTACTATTTGACCTACAAATATTGTATTAAAATTTTCGCCTTGAATTGTTTTAGGCCCATGAAGTTAAAATGAAAACCCATTGAGAAGATGAAGTGAAGCGTGAAACGTAAATACATATGTACAAATTCCGACAAAACTATCTCAAAGGTAAAATCGCGGGGGGGAGTATTAAAATGTGTAGTTGTTCATTTGCAATACTGGTAGAGTTATACCACGGTAATGTTTATAGATATTGAAAGATACTTCTTGAGAGATCATATAAGAACAATTTTTGAGGTGTAAATATCTTCGCTCTCGGTATGGGTATAATTTGCGTTAACCTAGCAGGAAATTTGTAATACCTTCCTAGTTCAGGGCTACTTCAGGGCCATTTCGCGACTAGCTCACGGCTATTTTAGGACCAGTTCGGTACCTATTCAGGAATATTTCAGAACCTTTTCGGAACTCTTTCCGGATCATTTCGGAACAAATTCACAACTATTTGGGGACCATTTTCAGACTAGTTCTGGCCTATTTCGAGACTAGTTCAAGACTAATAAGGTACTATTTCGGGACAGTTTCAAGACTGGTACGAGATCCTTTCGGGAAAAGTTCACGACTTTTTCGACCGTTTTGGGGCCTGTTCAGGACTCTTTTAGGACATTTCCGGACTGAGGCGGAATTATTTCGGAACTGTTTCGGGACCTGTTCAGGACTATTTCTAAGCCATTTCGGAACTATTTCGAGACAAGCTTTCTCAGCTATTTGGGGACCATTTTGGAACTGGTCCTGGCCCATCTCGAGACTACTTCAGGACTATTATTCGATATTATTTTGGGACTAATGGACGAGGCGTCCAAGGATCTCTTCTATGCGCGCTTGGAACGTACATATGAGCGCTGCCTCCGACACGGTGTCAAAATCGTGTTCGGCGATTTTAATGCCAAGGTGGGCAAGGAAGGGATCTTTGGCGCCACTGTCGGAAAATTCAGCCTCCATGACGAAACGTCCGTTAACGGACTGAGGCTGATCGACTTCGCCGGGGCCCGAAACATGGTAGTATGCAGTACTAGGTTCCAGCATAAGAACATCCACCAAGCTACATGGCTGTCTCCAGATCGATCGAATAACGAGAAACCAAATCGATCATGTTGTGATATCCGTTTTAGACGTACGTACACTCCGAGGGCCAAACATCGACTCGGACCACTATCTTGTTGCAGCCAAGATACGCACCCGCCTCTGTGCAACAAAAAATGTGCGCCCAACAATGCAAGGAAAGCTTAACGTCGAAAAGCTGCAATCACAACAGACGGCCAACTTATTCGCCACTCGACTCACACACCTGCTCTCTGAGAGCACTCTTCAACAATCCGACATACGCGAGCAGTGGAGCCACATTTCCCGATCATTAAGTACCGCCGCCAAAGAAGTAGTTGGATTTCAGCGAGCCCGAAAGAACAACTGGTACGATGAGGAATGTCAAGAAGCCGCAGAGAAAAAAGACGTCGCCTATAGGGTCACGCTGCGATCGGGCGCAACGCGAGCCATGTGGGACCGTTATAGGGAACTGAAAAAGGAAGCGAGACGTATTTTCCGCAATAAGAGAGAGGCCGAAATACGTAAGTGCGAAGAGCTTGAGACAACCTCCTGAATGGTAGCAGCGCTGAAAGTCGTGGAGAAAACGAACCCGAGTCCCCAGTCGATGATGATGGAGTAGCTGTCCCACCGCCTGACCATGACGAGGTACGAATAGCGATTACGCGGCTGAAAAACAACAAAGCTGTTGGAGCTGACAGCCTGCCAGCCGAGCTATTCAAGTACGGCGGCGAGGAGCTGATGAGGTGCACGCATCAGCTTGTATGCAGAATATGGTCAGATGAACGCATGCCCGACGACTGCAATTTAAGTGTGCTCTGCCCAATCCACAAGAAAGGCGACCCCGCCATCCGCGCCAACTACCGCGGAATCAGCCTTCTAAGCATAGGTTATAAGGTCTTATCGTGTGTATTGTGCGAAAGACTGAAGTCCACCGTCAACGAACTGATTGGACCTTATCAGTGTGGCTTTAGGGCTGGCAAATCCACCATAGATCAGGTATTCACAATACGCCAAATCTTAGAAAATACCCGCGAGAATAGGATCGACACACACCATCTATTTGTCGATTTCAAAGCCGCTTTCAACAGCACGAAGAGAAGTTGCCTCGATGTCTGAGTTGGGTATCCCCGCGAAACTAATACGGCTGTGTAAAATGACGCTGAGCAATACCACCAGCTCCATCATAATAGGGAAGGACCTCTCCGAGCCTTTTGATACCAAACGAGGTTTCGGACAAGGGGACTCCCTTTCGTGTGATTTCTTTAATCTGATGTTCGAGAAGAAAATAAGAGCCGCAGAACTGAACCGCTCAGGCACAATACTTTACAAGAGCGTACAATTGCAGGCGTATGCCGACGACATCGATATTATCGGTTAAAACAAGGGCTACGTCTGTTCTGCCTTCTCGGAATTGGATAGAGAAGCAAAGCGAATGGATCTGGTGGTGAACGAGAACAAAACGAAGTATCTCCTGTCGTCACACAAACAGTCAGAGCGTACCCACGTCACTGTTGACAGTTACAAGTTTGAAAAAGTAGACGACTTCGTTTATTTGGGAATTAAAATTCAGCGGCTCCGCTGGCTTGGCCATGTCGTTCGAATGGACACAAACGCTCCTGCTCTGAAAATATTCAACGCGGGCCGCGATGCTGGTAACAGAGGAAGAGGAAGGCCTCCTCTGCGTTGGAACGACCAGGTGGAGAAGTACTTGGCTTCACTTGGCATTTCCAATTGGCGTCAGTTAGCACAGAAGAGAAATGACTGGCGTGCTATTTTGGACTCGCCCAAAATCGCTTAGGCAGTTACAGCGCCAAGAAAGAAGAAGAACTAATCCGTTAATAATACCAAAAAACCCCGAACTACATTGCATTAACGAAAACTCGAACACACGATAACTCGAACATTCGGAAATACTCATTTTAGACTCATAAATTCTGAGCACTCTGAAATTGTTTAAAAGATTTTTCCTTTTCTGGTAAGCACTTTTTTTGTATCAGTGGAGTAACGCATTACAAGTCGGCTAGATGCGTGGATAATAATAATAATAATAGATTGGCGCTTACACATATGTTAGTGTTTGGCCGAGCTTCTACTCCGATTTGTGGCGTGCGCCTTGATGTTTTCACACAAAGTGGAGTCGTCTGCGCTAATCCCTAGGGTATGCATATGGACCTACAGCCTTCAGTGACCGGTTAGAAGTCTCAAGATAGATAAACATCGCAAGACAGTCTCCTGGAATGTGATTAGTTCTGTGGATATTCTGGGGTTATGTCTTCCTAACAGTTATTTTGCCTGCCTTAGTCCAGACGTGTTCTCCTACTTAGGTATCTCTCTTACTCTTTCCTGATAGTATGAGGGCCGACTGCAAGGAAGGGTTCTGGTCCTATCGGTCGAGTGGCTGCTACTTGTCTAGCTAGCCAGTCAGCTCCCTTGGGCCGTATTTTTGCTAGATGCGTATATTTTTATTTAAAGGCGCCTTACTGCGGACGGACGGACAGACAGTCGCGGCTTAATCGATTTATCTTTTCATTCTGAGCAGTTTTGTACACATTTGTCTATATCTATCTCGATTCGTTTTGCCTGTTACAAACAACCGTTATGTGAACAAAGTTATAATACCCTTGTGCACCATTGAGCTCGGTTATAAAAAAACACATCGTTCGAAGGCTCAAACAATTCGTTAACCCGAACAGCTCTGGTTTTCATTAGTTCGAGTTATCGCGGGTGCCCTGGTTTTTTCGAACTGGGGCCGAACTAAGACCAAAGAAGTCTCGAAATAGACCCGAAATGATGCCGAAATAGTCCCGAACTATTCACTTACGTACATATATCAACGATCAATGTTGCTAAAACAAATGAAAACAAATTTAATCAGCTCCTGATACCGTCTTGGTTTACGCGTGACGGTTTACGCAATTTTTGACCATGCCGCGAGCAAAGGTGTTTACACATCAAAAACTTTAAAGAATGTTTTTAATCAACGTAGGCAAAATATCATACTACGTAGTTGGCTTATTATAATATTCAATAACTAACCTAGAACTTACCAATAAATAAATAGGTTATATAGGCCGCAGAATTTCTTTTTTTGTTTTTCTCGTTCTTTTCTCTACTTTAACCGCAATTGCAATCACTCAACTGCTAACTTGCAGCGTCAGCAATCGATGCACAACAAAGCCTAGTATGTATAATCAGGTAAAATTTTAATTTATGAGTCTTTCTTCAAACACATTTGCGCCAATTATTCAACAACACGTTTTATTTATAGATTGTGTTGACTTGTATTTAAATGCCGCGTTTTTTGTTTAGTCAAACTCAATTACTAACGAATTTTTTAAATCACATTTTACACTTTACGAGCAACAGCGCACATCCGGCAACAAAATGCAACTGAAACTTTTCAAAACTTATTTAATGCAACAGCTTAGTAGATCGCTGAAGACGGTTTACAATGTGACTTGCAGACTACTTGGTGGTAGTATTGCGCGTTAAGAAAACCCTAGAAAGATACAAAGCAGCAAAATAAAAAACATGAAAAACGGAACTGTTGTAAGTCGTGGCAAAATACAATAGCAAAACGTAAATTAAAAATAATTAAAAAATTAAAAAATGGTAGAATAGTGAGGCAACACAAATGAAAATTCAAGTATGTTGTGTACACACACACGCCAAATAGTTACATATATTAGTACTAAGAAGAAAAAAAAGTTAGTGAGCACTAAGAGCAGAGTGGTGCTCTAAATAAGCCCACAAGCATGGGTTAAAAACCAATGGTTTGTATGTATGTTTGGACCTACAACAAAGCAACGACGACAATAAAAATCTGTATTAATGCAAACCTGCAACTTGGTAATTATATTTATGATAGTCATGCCTGCACTATATATGTAAGTATCTACGGCTGAAATGCCCTGTTTCCATCTTTCTGTCTCTTTGCTGCCTATCTTTGTAACCACTGTAAGTCTATCTGGTTATTTCTTCATCTACCGTTGCGGTTTGTGATCCAAGAAGTGAATGCGCCGCCACAATTCAAATGAAAGATGGATAGTTGGACAGTCAGTCCGTTGCACTCGACTACAGTTTGCATAGATACATACATATATGTTGTACATATGTATGTCCATGTATGTATGTACATATGTACATATATATGTTTGTATATGACTAAGTAATAACTAATAGCAGCCACTCAAATTACGCCCATGTATAACATTTGATACATATTTATTGTCTTGGTTTTTTTTTGTTGCTGTATTAAATTTTTAAATATCACTAAGCCACAAAAATTTGCCGGCCGTTTCAAATCAGTTTTCAAATGGTATTTCCTCACGGCAACTTGCTTTACTAGTAACATACTAACTAGGAAGAACCGCAAAGCAATTTCTTTATAGTTAAATTTTACTTGCGTTTTTATTTTTATTTACGTTTCCATTTATTTCTTAATTTTTGCAGGCATTGTTATAAAATTTGTACTGGAGGAAGCTTAAAACACAACTTGTGAGGCAATCACCTGCTTCATTAATGAGATGCCGACCACCTTTCTAAACTAAGTTGGTGGTATTGCTGTGTGTTCTCTTGCGGAACGGAATTTTAACGCTCATACATATGAAATTGGATTTTACTATGTGCTAATATAAACAAAAATGATTTTTTTTTTTTAAAGAAGTTTTTTAAAGTGAAATCACATATAACAGTAACGTGTTAAATTTAAATAACATTTTTTCCTCAAGCATGCAGGTGTAATCAAGAATAACACATATAATTTCTTCATACATACATATGTGCATATGCTCTGAAATAGTAAATGTTTCTTGGCTTACTTACAAAATTAAGTATCCCATTCATTTTATACTTTTCTTAAGCTTTCCGTCTAGGTTTTTAATTCCTAATCAAATTTTTATTAACGAAATTTTTACATAAGGGGTATTCTCTGAGTCTTGCAAAGCCCTTGCACGGTGCACGGATTGCACGGTTTGCAAAGCTGTCCCATACGAAAACCGGTTTTTACCGTGCAATCTGTGCACCATGCAAGGGCTTTGCAAGACTCAGAGAATACCCCTATAGCCATTCATAAATATGTCTTACACTTTTGAACACGCTCGCCATTCCCAGTCGAATAGCCCAGACTGAACGCACCACATGTGTGACGGTGCACAATTTGCAGCTGTCAAAGTGTTCGTATGACATTTATAAATTTTTGCTGTGTTGTGTTCACCATATAACCAGTAAACAACCTTCGGTGAATTTGGCGACTGCCTTCCTCGGGGATGAATATGCTAGGGATGAAATTATTGGTACACACGCCTTCCAAGCACGCAGGGTTGCTTTTAAGAAACAAAAAATAATTAACTCCAAAAAGTTTCAAAAAGTATAGTGTAAAACGAAATTTATTGAATAATTCCATATAAAATGGTATACATAAATGACTCATTTTATAAACGATTTAAATAAAACGCATTTCATAACCTTTTTTGTGCAAACGGCATTTGCGAATTGATAGAAAAGTACTA